TGGCCTTCTTAGACGTACTAATAAGCCGAGATAATATAAATAATAAATATAATACCACGTTGTACAGAAAACCTACCAATACCAATCTGTACTTACTATATGAAAGTAATCAATGCAGAGAATATAACCCAGGGCGATGAAAACGAGATAAAAAATGACTCATTTATGGCTCCTTAATGAGTCATTAATGGGTGATTAACTGGCCGTTTTTAGATCCTTTAGGATCATTTTTATTTAGTTTTTATGCCATAAACGGCATCATTATTCGGTCGTATTTTAGACCATTTGTTTTACTACGTGAAAATGATCATTCATTGATGATAATTTTTAGATCATTACTCAGACGTTTATGAGGCATTTTTCAGTCATCAATGAGATAACCAAGACGCGGATTTTTTTTTGACCATAATTACCTGGTTTTTACTTCATTAATTGTCCATTAATTGACCATTTTTACGTCGTTCGAATGATGTAATTACGACCGTAAAATGACCCAATCGGCTGAACCAGTTGTAGGAGTCATTTTACGGTCGTAATTGCGTCATTCGAACGACGTAAAAATGGTCAATTAATGGACAGTTAATGAAGTAAAAACCAGGTAATTATGGTCAAAAAAAAGAAGTAATGTGAATGTGTCATTCACATTGCCCTTCACCTGACAATGTTTTTTGGTCAGTGCGTTCACGTGTAATAAGCACACTGTTCGTCGAGTTTATACGCTATACGGACGTACGATCCGCCGAAGGACAGTAAGACCCTTTAAAAGCATACATAGGCGCTTCTTGGACGTACATAAGCTTTCTTAGGACAATAGGCGTATCCTGGGCGTACATAAACGTTTACGGTGGTACAAAGGTCCTCTGAAAGCATAAGTAGGTGTTTTAAGGATGAACACAGACGGTTTAAGAGCGTACACAACCATGTTTTCGATCACCGTCGGACAGTGATGGCGCGAAGAAAAAAAGAAACGTAATTTAGGTTTTGGAGACTCGTCCTTTTCAAGTAAAGAGAATGATACTCTTAACCGATGAACGTATTTCCATACACTGGATTTTCCGCGCATTTCCATATACCACGTGAATTTTGATCTGATTGTACATTTCGTTCATGATTAGTTTTCTACAAATAAACACAATCTTATTTCTGGGAAAAGTCAGCTAAGCTTTGCTGAATTAGCAACAACTATTTAGCAAAGTCTGTTTACCAGCGAGAGGTTGAACACGGATTGAGTCTTCTTGTAGCTGGGCTGAAAAATAAAATTTCGACTACTAAAAAACAAGCTTTATAAGACCAATGTTTTTGTAGCAGAGTGCGGCATTACATAAAGGCATTTTGTTATTTATTTTCAACTGACCGATCAGGAACACAGTTTGGCAGTATACACAAAACAGAAAATAATCATCAACAGTTTCATTTTCATAGTAGTAAAAGAGGATTACTTGATTAGTACAACAATGACATAAAAGATAAAAAAATAATGCTTGTTTAGTAGGAAAAAACATGATAATGCTTGATTATATAGTAGAAAACATAAATGAATAGTATTGAAATATAACTGAAAGAAGTGTTAAAGTAAAACGTACAAACATTAGTAAGTCTGTGTGTTTTAATGTACGCAAAACACACTTCATATATCAGTTCTAAATCAGTCTCTTTATTCATCCTCATCCTAAAAACCTCCTCCATTACCACCGTCATTTTCATGATTAACACCACGACCACCATCATCCTCAAGACCCCCCGTAGCAGCACGAGTCGATGAATGTTGTCGACGAACTTTCCCTTTTACATTAGAACATTTGTCTCTAAATGTTTTCACAAGTCGCAATTCATAATAAGTGGTAAAAAACTTTTGTGATATACAAAATCTATTTTGGATGGCACCTAAAACGTGAAGAGCGAATCGTAGGAAAAGCTAAGCAGTCTAGAGAAATCACAATAATCCTTTATGTCTAAATGACAGATATAGTAGAGCGTGAATCGGTTTAACAGGTATCGAAATCATAAACTTTCCTCTTTTTCTCCTGTTCCAGGTTTTAGCTTATTTAGTTTTTTGATTACCTCAACCACAGGGAAGAAAGGTTGTTTTTTGAAAAAAAACTTTTTTTATATTCGACCCCCTCTGAGTTTATACACATACTATTATCGGCTCCAGAACATAAGGCCGGTGTTGTTTTTTGAATAACCAAAGACGAATAACCAAGACTATCAAGATATTCGATTTTACCTGCTCGATGCGATTTTTCACTTAAGAATAGTAATAAATATACTTGCAGTTAGGAAGATTTCTAGCAAATCTTTTCAAAATCCAAAGTATTTTCCATGGTTTTTTATTAAATCTCGTATTATTGAGCAGGTAAAATCGAGTATATCTTGATAGTCTGACATAATTTGGATGAATTTTGACTGGGTATGACTTTTTTGAAAAATAAATATCACCACGAGATCCAGCGTGGTCCATTACCTATGTTTCCATTCGTTTTCGAAATTTCCATACCTAAAGACAGATTGATTCTGGGACTCTCAGGGCATCCATTGCCACACCTGAACTAGGAAAATGAAGAGTTTGTTAGTTTCCATTTTAGAGAAGACACTTTGGGCTATATCTCTACGAAAAAAACTGATAGATTGCTATCTCAGTTTCCAGAGATCTGAATTGGTTGTCTAAAGACCTAGAAAACCGGTCGTCCGAAAATTTTCGGACAAGGATTTTACTTATAAAAACATAGGCAAAACTGTCTTCTTTCGATTGTTAAAAATCCCAAATTTCTATCTTTTATCGTCTTTGGTTATTCAAAAAACAACATCGGCCTTATGTTCTGGAGCCGATAATAGTATGTGTATAAACTCAGAGGGGGTCGAATATAAAAAAAAAGTGACTAGACCGAAAGCAGAGAAGTGTTGTACCTCTCACTTATACACGTTAGTCCAAGCAATTAGTGAAGCTGGTGCATTAGTTATTATTAAACAATTATCACGGACCGAAGTTTAATAAAATAAGTAAACATGCTCGAACTTTGCCGTGTGCTTCATCTAAATCGAGCTAATTAGCAAAGTGGCAGTGTGGCAGTATAAAATAAGCATGATGTATTGAAGAAGAAAAGGTCCCGTTGGACAAAAAAAACATTTCGGCGCAAAATCTATTCGATTTTGTCGATTTGAATTTTAGATAGGAAAGTCTTCGCTCTATCTGAATATAGTTGTTTATATGGCTGCAGACACAAAGATCGTTGAGGCATTGTCTAGCCCCAGCTGCTTGCTCTTCAGTCTAGTTTTTGTGAAGGTTTGTGCGTAAGCACTGTTTTAAACCAATAAAAGCTTGTCGGATTGTTTCGAGCAAAAAAACGCCTGACTCTGGCACTCGTCACGTAATAAAATGTGAGCGTTATGAGGAAACGGACTGAATTTGCTAATTGTGCGGAAACAGACTCTCATATCTGCCATTGTCGACGAGGAAAAGCAAAAAACACATATGCATTAAGCATCTAAACAATTTCTCAATAGAATATAAACGCTCTGCTATCAAAAATGTCTTCATTTAGTTCAAAGAGTTCTTTTTTTCTTAATATGCTCTATGAAAATGTTTACTGTGCTATGATGTTCTTCCGCCTACTCATTGGCAAAAGCAATAAATTTGCGTTAAAAAACATAGCCTGCTTTTTAAGATGTCGATTTTATCAGCATCAAGTGAAGGTGGATCACTTGGTCGACGTTTACGACGATGTAATGATGGCATTGTATGTGAAGCCAATTCATCATCACTGAATAATTCAGATAATACATTTCTTCCAAAATCTGCTGATGTTACGCCCGGCAACAATAACAAATTGTGTCCCTCATACATCTGAAAAGAATTTGGACGAAAAATATTTTATTCTGTTTGCAATGTATAGAATTAAGACGGAACAAATAAGCCGCTATCAGGAAATTTTTAATATGATTCAAAGTACCACATGTACTTTTTAAAGCATGACGACTCCGTCAAAGCTCATTCTTTTGAATCTGATATTGATTTAAGAAAACCGAACTTCTTTCTACAAGATCACACATGCTCTTCTACTGTGCAGGCGAGTATCTATCTCAAAACAATGACAGATCTAACTTACAAGCTCTTTCAAATATGTACCATTTGGATCAGTTTCATAGTCTAGCTTCTTTTGTTTCATCTGTAAATATTAAAAAAGATTTCGCGAGCCGTAAAGTACTATAAAGTGGTGGGAATGGCGGTATACATACCAGTTCTTTTGTTTGTCGTGCCATTGACATCACTGATCTACCAAGATCTGAGATTTGTCCTTTTATAGATGAAGTCAAATCTCGCAAGACATCATTGGGAACTGTGGTTGTGTAGTTACTTCCTGCACTGTTACTACCATCTGAAGCAGAACTGGTGACCGGTGAACGGCTTTCCTCGTTCTGAGCACCACCTGGACTTCGACGTCTCACAGTTTTTCTAAATGATCCACTTCTCCCAAAATGATCAGTACCCGTCTGTGTCTCTTCCTCATCTTCTTCGTCATCGTCGTTGAAACTGAAACCTCTTTTACTTGTTTTTTGTGTTACAAATTTATTATTTGTTGTAGCTACAAGCAAAAATATATTTCGGAGATCTCGATTCTCTACATACAAAAACCTTAATTATTCAAAACTTTACGATTTTAGTATTTTCGTACCTTATTCCATAGCTACAAAGAGAATTGAAGACGGATATCTTCAAGGAAATGCATGGCTTACGAATGTGATGCTCGTGTGCTTTCAAAAACTATATGTTTTGGGAAAGGATTATTCCAAAGTTGGACTGTTTCAACCGGCCGATCTTCACCGGTTTAAAGAAGTATTGTGAACCGGGCGGTTGGTTACTGGTTGAACTTTTTATCGCAAGTTTAAGGTTTTTTTAACACAATAAAATAGCTTCGTCGTAACTAGAGATGAGCGGTGACGGTAAAAACGTGTTACCGTTACCGACACTTCGGCAGCAATATCAGATTTTTACCGCGGTAATTTCAAACCGGTAAAAAATCTCAATATTTTACCGCGGTAAACTTCGGTAAAAAAGTTCTTTTTACCGTTACCGACGGTAAATTACGGAAGCTTGTGTGATTAATGTTTTTATTCAAAAGTCAAAACGGAAGTTCGGTAAAAATTATTTTTTTTACGGTTACCGGCCTACGGCAAAAGCTTCAAAATTTTACCGCGGTAAACTTCGGTAAAAAAATTTTTACCGTTACCGCTCATCCCTAGTCGTAACCAACCGATTAGTGTTTGAAGTATTGCGGTTAAGCACCATTTCTAACAGGAACGTACAGAATATTTACTGTCTGCAAAGAAACATCTTTTTTTAGCTGCCGGCTTTTTGCCAGCCAAAAAAATTGTGTGAACCGTACAGGTTTTGCCGGTTTTTTATCGATTGAAAGTTTTCTCAACCGGTCGGACAGGACCGGTTGGAAAATTTTCAACCAGTTCCAACTCTGGATTAGTCCAGTTTTCGAAAGAAGTGAAATCTTGACGTTTAAACTCAATTAATATTTAAAAGGGACTCTCGAGGTGAAAATGTAAAGATGGAACTCGGAAATGCTAGAATTTTGATGTTTACATCCTAGACATTGTTCCTAAAAATCTAAAAATGACAGAAAGGTTGCACGATTTTGGTATACAGAACCATACTTATACTTGACATGGTAACACCACTTCGACTTCTACGACCACTATTGCCATCGTTATCGTCTCCACTTGCTTCTTCTTCCAAAGCATCTGGTTGTGAAGCAACACGACTGAGTACTTGAGCTTTTTTTGTCATAGCCGATTCAGAGCCCAAACAACGCACAAGCGATTGCTTTGACTACCGTACGAGGGAACATCCTCAACTGCCACCTCTTTTTAGGGCTGAAACATACATTTTGTGAAACTCCTAGTGTATACGGATTTATATGAAATATAAACAGAGGAATGTAAGTTTATAGATAACACAAAGGCTGATATCAGACTTTGTGTTCTGTAGGAACATACAAACGCTACAGGATTAGGGCTACAAACGCGCCAGTCTTTGGAGACCTCGGTTTTAGCGTGGTGAAAAACTTTTTGGGTTGGCTGTTTTATAGAACATTAAAAAGAATGAGTTTCTTTTGCAAATTTGAGCACTTCGAGTGACAGGCGAAAACTGTAATTTAACCTTTAGCTCTAGTTCCAACAGCAAATACGCGTTCGAAATATGTTGAAATGCAATAGCTCGAACTAGCCCCATCCTAGAAGCATGAAAGTTTTAATATATGTTCAACTTTTGAGGCTCTATAAAATGCCCTTTTAAAAAGGCTTCGTCCCGCCCTTTTAAAAAGGCCGTCGTCGCACAACAGGGTCTCCAGAGACTGTCTTTCCGAAAAAACTCTAAAAATACGGACTGTAAGTACGAATAGATGTGAGATTTGTGAGCAGATCTTCAATATGCTATGCAAATGTATGTTCTAGGTCAACAGCGAGGCGGTAATTGGGGAGTTCCCTTGAAATAACCGACATAATACCTCTAGCTATAATGATCTTTTCGGACATTGTATTCCCATCTTTCACCAGAACTCGTTTTCCACTTGATTTTGCAATAATACTGTTATGTATACATGTGTAATCAGTCGGATTTTGCGCATCCATAACACATAAAAAAGAATCATCCGGCGTGTAAATAGCGGGTGGCTTAGCAGCCCGTCTAGAACGTTCAGTACCACCAGTAGCCATAATGTAAGGTATAATTAATCTGAAAGTATACGCCAGAAAAAAACATCTATTTGTATGCCTAGGATAAGAGTTCTGGTAAGTATGTCGACGAAAGCTAAGTGTATTATGATATATAAGTTCGCCAACCTCTTTTTCTAGTTTTGGAAGGCTGGAGCTATAAAGTTAGGCAGATGTGTGTAAAACTCGTTAAGTTTATTATCACAATTTATTAACCAAATAATAATTAATCATGTTCATCTAATCGTGATACATTAGTTACAATGAGTGAATTCTCATTTTCAAAGACTATACAATGGCCTATGATTGAAGAAACCGGTACAGAAAGGTTAGTGTTCAAAGGACACTTATGTAGTACATAAAAAAACATATCCGAAGGTTTTCGAAGTAACGAATAAAACGGCGTACCTTTAAAAAAATCAGAAAAAGCATGAATTTCTTTATGTCGCTGAATTAAAGCGAAGGAATCGTGACCCTTGATTAAGTAGAAAAATAGAATTTTTCCGAAGATTAACTTAGATTTGAGTCTAGCTATTACAAAATAGCTGTTTGTTTTCTGACGCTTCTTGTACAATAAAGAGTGGAACATGTTACTGTGGATGATGAAACGTGATCCGACAACAACACAATTACGCACATCATGACAATCACACACAGAATCATGATGGAGTATAATACGCTTGTCATGTTTATCCACATTAACAATGTCAATCATTTCATATGAGTCAGGATCTATAAAACTGTCTTGTCGATCGTCAACGGCATTATTTACGAAAAAATCGATTGAGTAGTAAAAAATAAGCTGCTCCGCTATGTTGCGAGAGCCATAATGGCCGTCGCCAAGATAACCAATGAAATCTTCGAACGGAAAGGTGCTTGTCGATGACAAACTGCCAAAGTCTTCGTAAATTTTTGGATAATGATCATGTAAATGACAGGTCAGTGTATGAATTTTATTAAAATATTGCGATACATTTCCTAAACATGAAAAGTACAAGAAGTCACATTTATTTTGAAAAACAGTTGTCGAAAAATATAAAGAACTCTCAAATTTCTACAGGAATACTTAAAAACGTCCAAAATGCTACGAAAACTTTGACAGTTTTAAGACTTTTTGAGATTTTTTGGCAGTTTTTTCGACATGATCACTTTAACGGAGCAATATTCATATCTTCAGCTAAATAAGCAAAGCAACTGGATTAAGGGTATCCCACCTCTCTTTTTGGATAAAAAACTCGATTTTAAGAAGAGGTCATAGTCGTACAGAGTGCACAATGCTCTACAAAATGAGACCTCTCCTCAAGCCTCTACGACCTTCTATTATGGAGTTAGGAGTCTTTTATAATTTTCGGTTGATCTGCAAAAAATAAAAAAACTTCACTTTTAAAAGCTTTTTCATTTTAGAAGAACGGAAAAATTTGTATGAGCCGACAGTTTTCTAGAGAAAATTGTTGTCTATAAACTGCGATGGTTCCCGGCGTTCCTGGTCCAATTTTGACCGATTCATAGCTTTTCTACGAAAACAAGCATTTTTCTGCTACTTAACGCAATTTTCAATGCGTAAAACGAAAAATTCGCTAACATCCTCAACCCCAGTACATTACGAGCCCCACGAAATTTCATTCGATCGAACCGAGATTTTCTGAAAAACTCTCGAAAAACTTGTCCAAAACTCAAAAATTGCAAAATAGTGTGGAGGTATAGATAAAACCAATAGCTTGTAAAAATTTCACCCCAATCTCATTTACAAATGCAATATAATCGCGGACTTGAAAAAGAGGGTGGATGCCCTTAAAAGAGGACTTCTCACGATAGAGCTAGCTTCCTAGGATAAAACTACCTTAGGCAAACGACTTAATTTAGTTCCGTTTATAGGTACGAATTAGCTGATGAATTATCTAGCCCGTTTCTGATTTCTGGATCGACAACTTTTCCAGTTAAATTAGCCGCCGTTCTGTTTTTGACCTGTAAGAACTTTTTAGAGTAAAGCGATTATAGCCACACTCACTTTGATAGTCGTCGAAGAGCTGTGATGATAGTTGTTGTCGAATACATCGATCGACGGCTACAACGGGCGATCCGTGAAGTAGTCGAACACCACAAACGAAAAGACACAAAAATGAGACAAGTTCTATGTCAAAAAAATCAATTAATCTTGGTATCATAGCATACAGCAACAAATTTCTTAATTCACTTCCTTTCACATACGCTAAATTTAGAAATGATGGTAGTCTACGGTTAAAAGTATGGGGAAACGATTGATGTTTTAACAGTGTATCTAATCGTTCTATTTCACTTATTGATAACAGCTCTCGTAAATGTGTGATGATAGTCTTTGTCTGTCTTAATAACGACGTATGTAAATAGTCTATCATAATTGCAGAGGGTAGATCGTGGTCGTATAATTCCGATATAACAGACATCCCATAATGGCCGAAACAATCATTTTGCGGACTACCCTCTAATGCAAAACGTTTGAAATCATCAGAAGAACGCTCCACTAATGGACGAGTAAATGGATATAACACTTTAGTATCATATACCCCTAAAAAAGTAATAAAAGATACAATTCATCAATAAACTTTAGTCTGACTCCGCTTCTCTAAAGCAATCTCTGTTTTTCCAGAAAATGACCCTTACATTCGAATCTTTTCGACATATTTCCACGGTTCCGTTCGATTTTTTTGGTCGATGCTGATAAACCACAAAATTTTCAATTAAGCATACAATATTTTTTAAAGTTAAGTTATCTTTAAAAAAGGCTCTTTACAAACTGTCTTTAAGGGCGCTAAATTTACAATATCTTTCATCGCGCAAAAAGAACTAGAAAAAAAAGTTATTCGACGATATAGCGATTCATTTAGCTCGCACCAAGTGGAAAAACAGAAGACGCTTTAGAAGTAGCATTGGACAATCATCAGAAGTGCAGACTATATCCGAAGATGCATATATTTCGATGCAATAAGTTCAATGCTATTTATAAAACTTTTTCTATCGATTAAAAAAATCTGTCCCTTTGAAGTTCTCGATAAAGCCGCGTTTTAATACTAGGAATCAATCGACGGATACTTTCTGCACCTAGCGAAAGTAAAATAAAAATTACCACGTGTCAAACAGAAAAAACAAGCATAATAGCCATTGTGTCCTTTAAAATTTAACATCATTGCTAAAGCGGGTAAATCACCCACGATACCCAAAAAAATAATTTCAAAATGAATTGGTGAAACGTGTCCACTACTATCTGGTATATTGACTACAATACCATTAAGTTTTAGATCTAACAATTCTTTTAATATATCACTTATCCACTCAAATACATTAGGCTTTCCATGGCCAACTGCAGCTGATAAGAGTATAATATTTCGTCTTCGCTTTCGCAGCTCAGGTCGAAGTTCTGTGATGGACGCAGAAAAAGTCCACAACCCGAGCTGCGATGACTTTGTTAATGGAAGGCCGTCGACATGTAATAGTAACGAGATAAACCTTTTATTCCCGAGATTATTTTTAACAAACTGGTATCGTCGTCCGTTGATAATATCGTCACAAAATTCACTTGTATTACATGGGAACCAATTAATTTCGGTAATGTTACGCAAAATAACGCGTCGAAGAAGGCTTTTAACATCGGCATTGAATATTGTCAAAACATTAAACGTCGATTTGTTGAAATTAATACAGGTCTCATTTGTACAACTTAACTTTTGTGCTAGAAGGTGACCCGAAATAACAATATAGACTAGTATCTTAGTTCTATCTCTTATATATGAAAACTCTTAGCGAACTCGACAGTTCTCGAAACATTTATATTTTAAAAAAATGTTTCGCAAGGTTTCATCCAAAATGTGCTAAAGAATGCTAGCTTAATATTGATCGATGTAACTGAAAAATACCGATAATATCGTTATTTCTGCTCACCCGTAATAATAGCAAAACAACTGCTACATTTGATTGTCTTCGTAAATTGATTTGTAATATTCAGGCTGTCGATCAGCTTGTGAAAACTGGTGGGAAGACGATTAGGGTGGGGAAGTACACCGGAAATTAGTTTCAAAATAGACGTCATTGTTGATTTGGAGATTTTGCCCTGTCGACAAATTGCGAGTAGATTTTCACAGATTTCTGACGTCGATTTTGTTGTAAACGGGTGCAATGGATGTAAGTCTTTTTGATATCCGACAGTCGTCGAAATATCACTCTCAGTATCCATGTAATCATGAACTTCATCATCGTCTATTCGGTGCGAAAAAAGTTTCTGAACAAACTGTTTCTTAAAATAATTCTTATAATCTTATCTCCTCGAGTACCTAGCGAAATAATCTCGAAGATGTTAGGGTAGAGATCTCCTGGCAATGCTTGTTTTTGGGAAAGAGTTAAAAAATCTGGTGAAAACTGGATTCTCCGGGTTGTTTTTACCTAATATTGAAAAATTCACAATCTACTAAAAAAACAACAGAACGCGTGCAAAAACTTTAAGAGATGGCAGAATTTGTCTGGTAAATGTAATTATATCATCGGAAAAGTCGAAAACCATATTTTTGCCCAAAAGTTTGTCAGAAATCCTTTCCTAAGAACCATCGATGTTTGCAAACTGGTTTTTCTCGATTTCTTATAAATACGATATAGAATAGCATAAATACTTTACATTCTGAAGTTTTGAACGCGTTCTGTTGTTTTTTAGTGGATTGTGAATTTTTTAATATTAGGTGAAAACAACCCGGAGAATCCAGTTTTCACCAATTTCACCATTTCATGAAAGGAAACCAAAATATTTCTATTATAAGCTTTTTGGTAATAACATTGTTTTCTAAAGATCGTCTGGAAAACCTGCTTTAGAAAAAGATTTTCAAAATAACTGTCGTGACGAAAAGATGCGGTCAGATCTTGGTTTCCAACTACTGAAGACCGCAAGTCTCTATCACTTTTCTCTTAAACGTTATTCAAAAAACACCCGAGCGCATTCTTTTTTTTTCTGACAATAGTGCGCAAAATAGATATATTATCTTATGCTCAGCATGGAACTAGCACTAAACAAAATCCGAACAGATAAGATTACAAAAGTCAAACATGTTTGTTCAAAACTTATTTTGCACCTGCAACTTGAAAGTCATCGAAATCGTCGCACAGGTCGGCCAAAATGTTACATTCTTGATTTTTATCTAATGCTTCAATTATATCTTCGAAATCATCGTCAAAAATAGAATTGTCATCATTTTGTGACATTTCAATATTATCCGAACGTTCATTTGATCGAAGTAAAATCGGACATAAAGAATAACTTTTATCTGTCTCGTCTGAATTTACGGATTTTTCGTGCTTTGGACGACGCTTTTCAAGCACTTTATTGTATTTTTCTTTAGATGCACGACTTTCTACGTCACCGATATTTAGATTCCACATACTATTAATCAATAAAACCCTAAACAATAGCAAAAAAGTCGGTACCGCCGAACAGCATTTACAATTCACATTAATAGTTAGTCTTAAATTAGCATCCTCTTCACTTTTCTCTGCTATTCTCTCTTTCTATTCAGTGTTAAACATAGTGTGTATATTTTTCTCGTTCTAAGAGAAGTTGATAGGCTAAAATACCTATGAAATGAACTGAAAACCTTTTTCTAAATCAGTTTTTAATGCTGATTCAGAAAAATATAGTTCGAACCTTCCATCTTGCAATACAAGCACAAAAAGTCAATTTCATCAAAGAGGACGGTT